TATAATTATTTACTGTGATATACAAGCTATAGTTAATAATAATAATAAATTATTTTTTATAAAATATTTTTAATTAAAACATAAAATTTTATGTTTAAAATAATTATTTTTAATAAAATTTATATATTAAATTTATTTTTAAACTTGACAATAATGACAATAAATTATATTAAATAATATTAATAAATAATTTCTAAATATTTAGTTAAAAATATTTAAAAAAAATCTTACTAAATATTTATTTATATTTTATTTAAAAAATATGCAATATCTACTAATAAAATAATAAATAAAATAATTTATATATTTTTATTAACATTATTTAAAATATCTCTTAAAATTCTTACTAACATAATATTGTGGTCTCTAATTATATATTTAAAAAAATAAAATTAAAAAATATATTTGTATAGAAATATAAACTATTTATTACTAATGATAACAATAATTAAAAAAAAGTCATTAGTTTATTGTTAGATTTATTTTCGTAAAAATATAATAAAAGGATATTTTTAATTTTTTTTCAAATAAAATGTTTTTGATATTATCAGGAAATTGGTACCAAAAAAAATTTATATATTATTGATAACAATAATACTAGACTTAAAATAGAAAAATTAATGATAAAACTGTACTTAAAATTTGAAGTTTATTAGTATTACAATTTACCTAAAAAATTGTAATAATTTTTATTATATAAAATATTTTTATATTTAGATATTATATTATTGTATATTTTAATTGATATAAATTCTATTATTACTATTGATTCCGTATTACAGTTATATATGTAATAAAAAATTAGTTTAGAAACTAAAAATCTATAGTATAGTTATAATACAAGTATTAAATAAGTAATAAATATATTTATTAAATGATATATAATAATTTTTGTTTTTTAAAAAAATATTATTTAAATTAAATAAACAATATTAGGCTATAATTATTATATAAAAATATGAAATTTTTGTCATAGAAGGGGAGGGGTTAGTCTAACCCTATCTATAACTATATCTTTATTAATTAACCCTATTGTAAAAATTGATGTATTTTATACGTGTACGTGTACGTGTACGTGTATTTTTGTGTTTATTGTGTTTGTGTTTTATTTACAGAATATTCTGTATATATATGTTTTTATTTGAACTGTATATCTATTGTATATAATTTTTATCAATTATTAATTGTTTATTAATTATATATTATTATTACTATTTACAGAATATTCTGTATATATATGCTAATAGTTTATTACCGTACAATAATTAATCTMTATATATATATGTATATAGATATACAAAACCTTACAACAAAATATCATAAATATATGTGTGTTTTATAAAATTAATTGCTATTTAAGTGTTTTTTATTATTTTTATAATATATATTAATTATTAAATCTAATAGATATAAAATATTTGTATTATATTATTTAATAAATATTATACTCTTATTTATTAAAGTTAATTATAAAAATCTAATTTATTATGATTTTATTTATTAGTATAAATCATAATTAAACTTATTTAAAAATAAAATTTACTAATTAGTAAATAAATTAAGAAAAAAAATAAAATTAGCTAAAAATATTATCTCATATCTCAACCATGCGATTGTTACTATAATTTATTAAATATTTGTATTTATAACTTATAAAAAAAATAAATTAAAAAACATTAATTTATATTTTTATTTAAATGATTAATTTAAAAAAAAAATTATAACATAATTTTAAATAAGATAACATAAATGATAATAAATTTATACTTATTGTTTAAGATTTTAATATAAAATTCAAACTTTTTATATTATCATATTTTTAGATATAATAATCTGCTATAAAAGTTTAGTTACAAATAAAAATATTTATTATAATATAACTATAGTAAAAGTATATTACAAAAAATATGATATATATTAAATATTATATAATAATGTTTAAAAAAATATATTATTTTAATTATATAAACAATATTACTTGTACTATAATCTACATATTAACTAATATAATATATATATACAATATATTTATACAATAACTTAATAATTTTATTTACAGAATATTCTGTATCTATTTGTGTCTAAATATATGTCAGAATAGTGTAATATTTTGCAAATAATAGTGTTTTTATTAATAATATATCGTTATTAGTATTATTTACAGAAAATTCTGTATATATGTATGTTTTTATAGCTAATGGTTTAATTACATTACAATACAGTAAATCTATTCATAGATATATATATATATATGCTATACCTTACATAATACAATATCATATACCTATACCTATATATATATATATAGAAATTGTTATTTAAATGATTTTTATATTATCAATAATATATATATATATTTAAATATTATTATTTGTGTTATATTTGTTTAATATTTATATTATTATTATTATAATATAAAATATATATGACTTTGTAATCATTATAGTATTTTTTAAACAAAATTTAATAATTAATTACTATTAAAAAAAATTTATTTAAAAGTTATATGATAAACAAATTTATTTTTTATAAGTTAATTAAAAATTTTATTTAAAAAAAATTTATTATACAATAAACTATTTTATTAAATAATTAATTTGTAAATATTTATTATTATTATATTACTGAACTTTTTATTTATTTATTAACTAATTTATTTATTTAATTTACAAATAAATTTATTACTATTAAAAAAACTAAAAATATAAATATAGTACTAAAGTACTTAATATTATTATTATTATATTAAATTTAAAAAATAAAATAAAAGTACAAAAGTGTAATAAATCTAATTATTAAAAAATTTAAACTTTAAATAAATAAAAAAATTATTGCAATATATATATTATATTGATATCTATTTATTTATCATATAATAGATATCTATAGAGAAAATGCCAAATGATTAACAATACTAATACTAATAGTAATAATAATAAAAATATTAGTCAATTAAAATTCAATTGTATTTATCTATATATTTATATATATACTATATATATATATAATGTATAATAGATAATAATATACAGCATATATGATGCTATACTTATGTCAAAACTTATTGGCAATAATTTGTTGTTTAATGAGATATGAAAATACAATAATAATTACTGTAATCTATTGTATTAGATATATATATACATTGTATTAATTGATATTGATTACAACACACATACAACACACACACACAAACACACACATACATACATACATACACACATACACAACTACACACATACACACACACATACATACACATACACACACACATACACACACACATACACACACACTGACACATGTGTTGTCTATTTTAAGTGATTTATACAATAGTGATACAGAATTTTTATTAACTATACATTTATATTGATATACAGTAATAGTACTATAATTTTAAATTAAAATACATATAAATTATTATTTTTAGTACACATATCTACTAAAACATACGTATATACCGTATATATATATACTTAAAAATTACATATAAACTATAGACATATAATTATATACAGTATATATACTGTATATATATGTTTTAGTTTGTATAAGTATTGTACTAAAAGTTTTTATTTTATTTTATTTAATTTTTTTTTGTTGCATTTTAATAGTTAAATAGACAACTGATCACACAATTGAATGAATTAGCCGTCAAATTGATTGTTAATATACAGTATATACTATATATATATATATATATATATATATATATATATATATATACAGTATATTTGCATTATATATGATGCGTCAACATATATATATATATATATATATWTATATATATATATATWATGTTTTAGTACAATAATACATTAGATACCTGTGCACAAACCTGACGGTGCACACTAAGTTCACATACTAAGCAAAAAAATTATTATTATTATTATTATTATTATTAATTTTATTTACTTGTAGTGATACATATTTGTTAATCAATTGATTGAATCAATTTTTATTTATCTTATTTGAAAATTTTAAATTAAAAAATAACATTTATTTTACTCTATATTATAAATATATTTATAAATACAGTGTATTTAATACTGTAGTGTATTATATTATTTTATCTATTGATATATAATATATATATTTTTTAATGTATAGTAAAAATTAATTGAATAGTTTGAACATATAATACAAATAATAATAATAATAATAACTACTATTTTATTTTGGTCACATATTATTATTAGTATTATTAAAGTCACAAATTTTATAATATATATATCTATATAAATATTTTTTTTTAAAAAAAATTAATTTGCAATTGTCTGCAAAAATTAAATAAATTTGTTATTATTTTTTTAACATTATCATCTGTATTATAATTTATTTTGCAAACAAACAAACAAAAATGATTGACTAATAAATTGAATATATTTTTTATCTAAAGTTTTTTTTATTGAAAAAAGTGATTAATTAATTAATAGTTTATTAAACAATTGAATTTTTTTTAATCTCAATAAACACATTAATAACTTATTACAACAATTAAATAGTAATATACTTGTAATTATTGTTTATCATAAATATTTATATTAAAAAAATATATAATAATTGCTAACTATATTAATATTATTACTATTAATATTTTTTTAAAAATAGATATAGAGGTAAATAATATTATATAAAAAATTATATAAATATATAATTAATTATTTTTTTTTGTATTTATTTTTTATCCACACATTTATTTTTGACACATTATTGGTGACACAATTATATATATATTTTTTTCATAAAAAAATGTGTTTCAAGTTTTTTTATGACACATAAATAATAATAATAATAATAATACGTTTTTATACTACTAATAACAATCTGTTATTTAATATTATTATTATTAATTAATATTATTATTATTCAATGAATTTTACAACATTTGAACCACAGCTTACAAATGTAAGTAATTATTATTATTATTATTAATAAACTTTTATTTTATTAGTAAATTWTATATATAAATAAATATAATAATAATTATTATTATTATCACTAAAAAATCTAATGAATATTAATAATTCACTAATAATTTTTGATCCACTTTTGCCGGTATTTAACACAAAAATTTTTTTTATTTTTTTTTAACTATTAATATAWATATATTTTATTAGTAATTTATTTGGATTTTTTCCATAATATATATAAGACAACAACATATCCAAGTGATAGTCAAACTAATAAATAAAAGTTTTTAATTTTCAGCAATAATTGATTTATTAGTTTCAATACTAAACAAAAATAACTAATTTTTTTAACTCATGTGTGTGTTTGTTATGATAACCCTAAACACTAAACCTTAACCTATTTTTTTGTGTTTAAAAATTATGTATTTATACAGTAATTTCTGTATATATATATATTAATATTAAATAATAATAATACTAATACTAAATATGTATCTAAATTATAATAACTATAAATCAATTAGTCATCACTTTATTATTATTATTAGCAAAAAAAATTACTAAACGTCTAATTACTTTGTAATTATAATTTGATAAATCAATTAATTAATTGCTGAAAATAAAACTAATTATTATTATTATTAGTATAAATTATTTAAATTAATTCAAGTAATAATAATCATAATTAACAACAAATTAATTAATTAATTACTAATTAGTTTTATTATACCGGTGTTAATAACAATAATAATAATTAATTAAAATATCTATTAACTAATTATTGTATTATTTTAATAAATTAATATTTTCTATACTAAAAAAATTAGAAAATTTATTTAATATGTTTTAATAATCATAATAATTATGATATTTTTGATAACTAAAATTAATTAATTAATTACTAAATAGTTTTATTATATTAGTGTAAATTTTTTTAAAAAAAAAATTTAGTATAAATTAATATTTAAACAAAAATCGAAAAAAATAGAAAATAATTTTTTCGATTTTTAATCTATTTAATTTTTAATAATAATTACGATATTTATTGTAAACTAAAAATAATTATCAAAATTAATTAATTAATTACTTAATAATTTTAGTATATATTTAATTTTTAATAATAATCTATTATCTATTTTAGATAAATTTGATAATAATTATTTAATTAAATTTATTTAATTTTTTGATTAATAATTAAAAAAACTAATTATCAAAATTAATTAATTAATTACTTAATAATTTTAGTATATCAGTGTTAAAATAAAATAATCTCATTAACTAATAATCTATTATCTATTTTAGTAAATAAATTTGATAATAATTATTTAATTAAATTTATTTAATTTTTTTATTAATAATTACGATATTTATTGATAACTAAAAATTAATTATAAAAATTAATTAATTAATTACTCAATAATTTTAGTATATCAGTGTTAAAATAAAATAATCTCATTAACTAATAATCTATTATCTATTTTAGTAAATAAATTTGATAATAATTATTTAATTAATTAATTAATTATTTAATTAATTCAAGTGTCAAGACGTTAACCTATTGAACGATTCGCAACAAAAATGCAATTTTGTTAAGACTGTCGACGACTGTCTCGATACGGATGGCCTAATCAGTTATGTTGAGCTAACCTACTGTATGATAGGTCAACCCATTTATGCGGTTATTGTATTATTTTTATGGCTATTAGTCCTGTTTACTGGTCTGGGTGTTACTGCCGATGATTTGTAAGTATAATAATAATAATAATAATATTATTATTATTTAAATAAAATTATTAACATTTATAGTTAGTATTTTAAAATTGAAAAATTTTAATTTTTTAAATAAATTCCTAACAAACAAACCAAAAAATAATCTTGATAAATTTTTGCTATTCAATAATATTAAAAATATTTATTTTTTTCTAAATTAATCTATTTATTAGACTTCACAAAAAATTTAGTTTTAAAAACTATTAATTGTTTATTATTTTTTTAAGTATGTGTTGACAAAAAAATAATTATTATTAAAAATCTAGCAAAAAATAATAATTTCAATAATAATTAAAAAAATTTTGTTTACTTAATAATTAAAATTAAAATAATAATTAGTTTAGTTAACATTTTACTATATTAATAAATTAGTCAATTATTTTTTCATAAAATTATTCAAATAAAATAATTAACCAAAAAAATAAAAAAAATATATTTCAGTTATTATAGAAATATTAGTTAATATTAAATATTTATAAAAAAAAGTTTTCCATATATTATGAATCACACAATAATTAAAAAAATACTTTAGTTAAGACATAGATAAATGTTTATCAAAAAATAAATTAAATTAAAAAAAATAGATAATTATTTATTAAATTAATTCTATAACATATTTTATTTTCTATATATATATATATATATATATATATATATACTATAAATATATATTATATTAAATAACATATCATTGCTAATCATAAGTCAATCATATAATAGCTATCAAATTACGTATGAGTTTTGTGTAAAGTTTTGCATCAGTTATAAAATAATTAATTAAATAAATATAATTTGATAATAAATGTCAAGTTTTCATATTATCATTGCGTATATTATTATTATGTTTTTATTAAAAATAGATATATAAAAAAAATTTATTGAACTATTTTTATCTACAAATATATATACTATATATTTATATATTAAATAACTTAATGACTTTTTTGTTGTGTTATAACAATTATTTTTATTACTAATATATTTTATTTATTTATTTTTAATAAAAAACATATTAAGTTATCTATTGATAATATTTTTGCGAAAATAAAATTTATTTAATCAATCAATTATTATTATTATTATTATTTTAACCAAACAAATAACATTTAAAAATTATTGATTATTTAGATAAATTTTATATATATATATAAAAATATATATATTATTTACATAATAATTTTTTATTGATGATAAAAAAATTATTTATTTAACTTATAGATAACTAATTGTAATAATCATAATAATAATAATATTATTATTATTATTAAAAAAAACATCTGTCATAAATATAAATATTATATTTGTAATAATAATAATATTGCATAAAACAGATAAATAGGTTTATTGAAAACTAATTTTTTTCCTAAAAATATTTACTGTAAATAATTGTTAAAATAAATAAAAACTTAAATATTTATACAACAACAACAAAAATGATCAATTGTTTTGTGTATTTCGAAAATTACTAATATATTAGAAATAAAAAACAATATATAAACAAATTTGTTTGAAATTTATTTCAATAATTATTTTAATCTAAAAAAATTAAATTTAATTAATTAATTTTTGTTAAACATTTTTTTTAATTTTTTTAAATTTATTTATAAAGTCTATGTCCGGCACTGTTAGTCATATCGCGTACATTACGTCTATCCCATAATATTGCTGTAAGTTTTTAATTAAAATTAAAATTATAAATATATTTATTTTTTTAAAAAATAATTTTTTTTTATTAAAATTAACCAGGGTGTAACATTTCTAGCCTTTGGCAATGGTGCCCCCGATATATTTTCATCAATTGCCGGTATTAAACAATCAAACCCCCAGCTGGTTGTCGGGGAGTTATACGGTATTTATAGGAAAATATATAATTTTACTAAATTGAAAAAATGCAAACTATTTTGTAGTTTAGTTTTAAAAAAAACAAAATAAAGAAAAAATGCTAATGTTTTTAAAAATTATTTAAATTATATTAAAAATTATTTATTTTTTTATTCAGTAATTATGATTAGTTAGTATAGTAATTATTTAATTAAATTAATATCAATTTATTTATTTATTTTGTTGGTTAGTTAGTTAATAATTTATATTACTTTTATTTTATTTTTTTAACTTATAACTGTCATAATTTTCATTGTAATAATTATCAATAATGTTATTATTAATAATAATTATAACCAATATTATTAGAAATAAAACTAAAAATTTATACTAATTTAATTCAATTAATATACCGTAATATTATTGATAAAAAAATATATAATATTTTTGTTGTTTTTGTGATTAAATTATTAATTTTTTATTTTATATTAAATATTTATTTATTTAAAAAATTAAAAAAAAATAACATACAGGTGCCGGCATATTTGTCACAACAGTAGTGGCCGGCAGTATATTCATACTATCGGATTTCAAGCCAATGGCCCGACCCATGTGTCGGGACATTATCTTCTACATTGTGACCACATTTCTGGTTTGGCTAACATTTTTAGGCGGTTCCATCAAAATAGCCCATTCCATAGCCTTTATCTGTATCTACCTGTTCTACATTATCACTGTTGTCGGCTCCGGTATTATTTATACAAAATATTTGAAAAAATCCAATACAGATAAACCAAGCGACGAAACACCCACTGAAAGTATGATTTTTTTAAAAATAAAATTATTTATTTATTTTAATTATTATAATTATTATAATTTAATTATTAATTATTTAATTTTAATTATTATTAATTTAATTAGTTTAATTATTAATTAATTTTAATTGTTATAATTTAATTATTAAATTATTTATTTTAATTATTATAATTTATTATAATTTATTTATTTTATAAAAAAATCTATTTTCGGTTTGGATTCGGGTTTTGATTGGCTATCGGATATCGGTTATTGGAAATAATATTAAAAAACAAATAATATATATACAGTTTCGGGTCGGGTAAGTAAACTAGTATTTTCGCGTACCTATTTCGGGCAGGCATCGAAAACAAAAAGGACGTCCATTAACGATATGCAGGACGACAACTACGAGGGTGTTTGTCTTAGAAGTAAATTTAAACTAAAAAAGAAAATTTAAATTAAAAAATAATTAATTAATTATTATTTTTTTAGGGATAAAATTTCGTGATATAGGGGTAACATCACCGCAACGTAGGCGTACCCTATTTAACATACATCAGCCGTCAAATAGTCGACCAGTTAGTAGTGGTAGTAGTAGTAGTATTACTGGTGGTCGGGATAGTAGTGGTGATGTATTTTCGGTAACAAATAATAAGATAAACCATAACAACAACAACACACTTACCGTTAATGATGACTATATAGGACGTACCACTAGAAGTTAGTATAGATAAAAAAAATAATAATAAGTTATATTAATTTTTAACCCCCCTTTCCCTAAACCCCTAACCCTCTACACACATTTTTTGACAACTAAAAAATTTTGTAAAATTAGTTTTAAAAATTTAGTTTTTAAAAAAATAAATAGTAATTTATTTTTCAAGTTTAGATAACAAATAATTAAAAAATTATTAAAAAATAATTATTATTATTGAATTGAATTAATATACTAACTATTATTACAAAAAAAATTTTAAAAATAAATACTATTTTATTAATTAACTAAAAAAATTATTTTTATTAGTAATAATGATAATTAATTTTTTAGTAACTTCAATGAAAACATAGTAAAAAATTATAAAAGTATATATAATTATTTTTTTGGTTAATTTTGTATATTTTATTAACAATTAATTACTCTATTATTGTTATTATTAGTATATTTATATTTAAATTATATATTTTATTAACAATTAATTATTTTATAATTATTATTATTATATTTATGATTAAATTATATATTTTATTAACAATTAATTACTTTATTATTATTATTATTATTATTATTATATTTATAATTATATATAAAAAATATAACAATTAAATGCAATATATTTTCAGGCAATACAGTATCCGATCCATCATTTCCAGCCCATTCACCTGTTGGTAACGGATCCAAACCTAAACATTTGCAACTAATACACCAGTTATCAAAAATTAGCATGACCAGTTTACTATCAAATAAATCCAGTAAATTAGCTATGAATGATTGGCATGAATTTCTAATACAAATTTGTCCGATTGATTGGCAAAGTTTTAAAACAGATCCGATTCATCTAAAAATATTTGCCATATTTAAGGTATTTAATTAAAATTAAAATTATTATTATTATTAAAAAATAATTTTCATAAACATATTTTTTTGCTAATTAATAATTTCGTTGAAAAAAAATCTAAATTTTCTAATAAATAATTTCATTGAAAAATATTTGTAAATTTTTCTAATTAATAATTAAAAATAATTTTTAATTTTTCTAATTACTAATTTTTTTTTTAAAAATCTAATTTTTCTAATTAAAAAAATCTATTTTTTCTAATTACTAATTTTAAAAAATTCTAAATTTTCTAATTAATAATTTCATTGAAAAAAAATTCAAATCAATTTTAGCTAGGTTATTTGTTTGTTTGTTTAATTTTGATAATAATTTTATAGTTATTTTTTTAATTATATATACTAGCATTATCAACATCATTAAATTATAATTAAGTTTAATTTGATTTTTTAAAAAAATTTAATCTGAATTTATTTATTCCAATAAATTAATTAAATTAATTTCTATTTAGTTCTAATTATTTTTGTTTATCAAAATAAAAATAAATTCAAAATTCTAAAAAATTTTAATCTTAAATATAATTATAATATATTTAGATAATTATTAAAAAATTATTTTATTTACTTATATTTTTTTTAAACACACTTTTTAGGCACCGATTTATTTTGTATTAACCGTTACGACGCCAGTGGTCGATGAAGACGCCGATCGGCATAATTGGTGTAAAATATTAAATATATTACACATTATTATTAGTCCGCAAGCGTTTGTATTTATAACTGAAAGTAAGTTATTATTATTATTATTTAAAAATTAATTAATTAATTAAAAAAATAAAACTAATCGATATTTTTATAATATTTATTTTATATAAATATAATTATTTTGATTTTTAAAAAAAATCTGATTTAATATAACTTTTTATTCATAGAAAATTAATTTGAACTATAAATTACTATTGAAAAAATAAATAAATAAATATAAATTACATATTAATATTATTTTTTATTTTATTAAAAATTAAAAAATTAAATTAATTAATATTTGTAAATTTTTTTTATATATATAACTATTTTATATAAATATATTTTTTTTAATAATTAAATTCAATATAACTTATTTTGTAAATATATTAACTATAAATTACTTTTTTAAAAAAAATAGAAATTACATATTAATATACTTATTATTTTTATTAATATACTTATTATTTTTATTAATTAATTAAAATTTTATTATTTTATAGTCGATAGACTACTAATTGAAGAAAAATATATAAGAAAATAAAAAAAATATTTTAATATTACTATATATAYACACAAAATACTTATTGAAATTAATAATATAATTAATAATTATTATTTTTTTTTTTGGTACAAATTTTTAGTGTCAAACGACCGAAACTATTTAACTGAGGCCATAGTGTTTGGTGTTAGCCTACTGTTAGCACTGGTAGTCTATTTTACCAGTGAAACCGGTCGACCGCCCAGATATCACTGGTTGTTTGCCTATTTCGGGTTTATATTGGCCGTGGCCTGGATCTATGCCCTGGCCAATGAAGTGGTCGACTTGTTGGGTGCCGTTGGCATAATATTCAATTTGAGTCCCATGTTGTTGGGGCTAACGGTACTGGCCTGGGGTAACAGTGTCGGAGGTATTTAACAGTGTATATATATATAAAAGGGCCTTACATTAATCTCGCACACGCGGTTTTTGCTATAATTCTTAAACGGAGTGAGATATATTAATTTTGTAAAAAGAGTATTAAAAAGTGATTTACGCGTGATATTATAAAATATTAAATTTTTAATTTTGATCACGTGATCATATTTATTCTTGGATCTTTGCAAACCACTATATCACAACCTAAACTATAAATGCTAGAATAAAATTTCAATGGTAAGTTTGTAATGCCTAAACTGGAAATTTATAGGAAGAAAAAAATTTTAAAATTGGTCGAAGAATAAATTTTTTATGGCTTTTCAAACTTGTGGAAAAACACATTATATAAAATTGTGGAAAATAAAATGACGTTATTTATGGACAGTAGACACTTATTAGATAGAGATATTAATACTATTGCTTATTCTGAAAACAAATATATATATATATATATATATATATAATTAAATTACAATAAAAAACACAACATTATATTTCGATAATACAATTTTTAATTAAATTTGATTATCTAAAAAAATATTTGACATATAAAAATTTTGTTTTTAGAATAAGCAATAGTATTAAAATCTCTATCTAATAAGTGTCTACTGTCCATAAATAACGTCATTTTATTTTCGACTATTTTATATAATGTGTTTTTCCACAAGTTTGAAAAGCCATAAAAAATTTATTCTGCAACCAATTTTAAAAATTATTTCTTCCTATAAATTTCCAGTTTAGGCATTACAAACTTGAAATTTTGAAATTTTATTCTAGCATTTATAGTTTAGGTTGTGATATAGTGGTTTGCAAAGATCCAAGAATAAAAATGATCACGTGATCAAAATTAAAAATTTAATATTTTATAATATCACGCGTAAATCACTTTTTAATACTCTTTTTACAAAATTAATATATCTCACTCCGTTTAAGAATTATAGCAAAAACCGCGTGTGCGAGATTAATGTAAGGCCCTTTTATATATAGTATACAGTATATAATTTTTTATATAACTTTCAAATGGAAATATAGTTTAGATATTTTAAAAATTTATTTTTTGTTATCTCAAAAAAGTTATTTATTTAATATAATATAATATAAGATAATATATATAATATTATATAATATAATTTTTTTTAAAAATAATTAATTTGAATTATAAATTACTTAAAAATATAACATATTAATATACTAAATTTTTTTTAATTAATTATTTATTAATTTTATTAATTTATTAAATATTTTATTAATATATATATATTTAGTATATAATTTTTATATCTATCAAATGGATATGTAGTTTAGATTAGTTTATTTTATCTTAAAAAACTTATTTATTATTTTATTTAATACTAATTATTTATGAAATTAATTTTCTATTAATAATTGATTTCTAAATATTTTTTAATTATATATAGATTTTATATCAAACATAAGTATGGCCCGAAACGGCTTTCCCCGTATGGGTATATCAGCCTGTTTTGGTGGACCTGTATTAAGTAATTATTTGATTAATTGATAAAATAATTAAATATTTATTATAATATAAATGTATTTACAATTGAATTTAGTATTTATTGTTACTTAAAAAAAATTATTTGTTTAACTAATTAACTAAATGTTTTAAAATAATTTCTAATTTAAATACTATTTATTATTAATTTTTAAATTTTTAGTAAAATTATAATTTAATTTAATGTTTGTTATTATTATAATATAGATATGTTAATGGGTATTGGCATACCATATACTGTATTATTAAGTAGCGGTACAGCAAAACCAGTTACAGTAAATATAATTTATTTTTCAATTTAATATCGTATATATATATATATATATATATATATAAAATTATATATAACTATTAATTTTTTAGCTAATATATTTTATTTTTTTAAATATTAATTTATCTAGCTACAATATACAAAAATGGTTACACTATTATATTCGACAATATCGTTGAGTTTAGGTTCAACCCTACTTATAATGTTGGTTACAAAGTTTAAGGCAACCAAAATGCATGGCATCTATCTTATCGGTATTTTCGGTACCTTCCTAACAATGGCCTGCCTAATTGAATGGCATATCATTTAGTTCATTAAATAAATAGATACCTAACCCACCCATCCACGCAAACACACCACCATATATATATATATTTATTTGTTAATTTTAAACTTTAAAAAAAAAATCAATTGACAATGAGCTTATGTAAATAAATTTTAAAAATAAATAAAAACTAATTGTGTATTATTATTATTATTGTAATTTAATTTTATTGTTTTTTTTTGAATTATAAAAATAAATGTTTTAAAAATATTTGTTGTCTAATTTTTTTTGTGTGCAAAAAAATTATGTATTATGTAATAATTTTTTTTCATTAATTATGTAATTATTATGTAATTATTATACAATAGTTAAGTAATATTAGGTAATAATTATGTAATATTAGGTAATAATTATGTAATATTAGGTAATAATTATGTAATATTAGGTAATAATTATATAATATTAGGTAATAATTATATAATATTAGGTGATAATTATATAATATTAGGTAATAATTATATAATATTAGGTGATAATTATATAATATTAGGTAATAATTATGTAATAATAAGAAAATATTTTTTGAAAAAATCTATTTTTATAGTAAAAGTTTGAAAATTTCTATATTTTTATTTAATATTTATATAATAGTTATATAATAGTTATATAATAGTTATATAATAGTTATATAATAGTTATATAATAGTTATTTAATAGTTATTTAATAGTTAGTTATATAATAGTTGTATAATAATTATATAATAGTTGTATAATAATTATATAATAGTTATGTAATAATTAGGTAATATTTTTTAATAAAAATTTCCATAATTTATTTTATTAGTAAATATATAGTAAACTAAATTAAATATATTATTTATTGACTTTGAATACCTAAAAATTAGTAAAATTAAATAATTATATAATCTTTTTATTTAGTTTATAAATTTGTTATATTTTTAAAATAATCAATAAATAATTTAAAAAAAATCAAACAAAACAAATAATATTTTTTAAACAAAAATCAATGATAAATATAAGCAAAAAAAACAATAAGTAATTACAATATTTCTATACAATTAAAAATAAATGTGTGTAACAAAAAAAAATGTATACATTAATCAATAAGAAATCAATTTTAAAAAAATATTATATAAATAAATATAATCAAAAAAAACATTTTTAAATAAAAAATAATATTTAATTTCATTTTTCAAATGAAATATTAATTTCTTTGGACACCAATTGTGTTGAAACAAAGTCTATCTGAACGGGAGTCTAGTTATTGGTTTCAAAAAAAACAAAAATTAAATTAAATAATAATTATAAATAATAATTAAATTAAACTTATATTAAATAAAATTAATAGATATTTTATAATAATATATTCATTAATAATGATAATTATATTGTAAATAAATAAATAATAATAATTAAATAAAATTTATAATATAAAAAAAAATAAAAATAAATTATTTATGTTATAACAAAAGCAAAATTAAATTTATTATTATACAAAAACAAAAAAAAATTATATTAAATACAATTAATAGATATTATATAATACTATATTCATTAATTAATTATAAATAAATTAATTAATATTTAAAACTCTTATTTTTTATAATAAATATTTTTTTGTTAAAAATTTTAAATAACAAAATTATTTGATTAAATATTTACATCACTATTAACTAATAAACTATTATTTTTATAAAAAATATGTATTTTATTATTAAATATTTAAAAAAAATTTAAACCAATATATAAATCAAACAATTAGTTAATCAACTCTATTAATACTACTCTATAAATATTTAATTATTTAGTTACAAAAAATAAGAAAATTATTTTTTTAAATCTATTAAATTAATTATTATCTAATATTTTTGTTTGTTTTTTTCCTAAAAAATATTGTTTCTGTAAATACTTTTAGTTATTAAACTATTTAATAATATATTAACTAATAACTAAATTTATTTTTAAAAAAAAAATAGTTTAATTATTAATTAGGTACTAGTTTAGTTAATTATATATTTGATAATTAAAAAAAATATTATTATATAAAAATTGTTTTTTTTAATCAAATACTTAAAAAATAAATATTTATAGACAAACTATTAGTTAATATTCTAATTAATTGACTATTTAGTTAAAAAAAACTAACAAAATTAAAATTAATTAAAAAATATAATTGAAATTAATTTTTATTATCTAATTCTATTATTTTTGTGTAAAAATAAATATTATTTCTATAAATAATAATTATATCATACATATGTATAATATTATTACTGTATTAAAAAATTAATTAATTAATTACTAATTACTTACTCGTCTATTGTTGAAAACATTGATCAATACATTACGTATAAGATATCGGGATCTGATAGATATAGTACCGGTTTTCCCATTTCATAGATACCTAAAAACCAGTCCATATTTGGGAGGCATAGATCCCGTTCCCAGTGATGCCATTGTTTGGTAAAAACCAACTGACCCTTGCAACCGGTACTACCTGTCGTTCCCAACACTTATCATAGTTATTGTTGTTAGTATTTGTTGACCAAAAATATCTGATAATCGGAAAAAAAATTAATTAATTAATTAATTATAATTTTTAATTAAAATAATAATAATAATAAACATCAATTATAATAATAAATTAAATATATTACCAATTAAATAGTATAAACAACTATTGCTATGATAACTGTAATACAATTAAAATTATTAATACAATCAAAAATACTAGTAATTATTATTTTTAAACATTATTATTATTATTATTTTTATTAACAAGGTTTCAAAAAATTTTTTTTAATGTAAATTATATTAGTTATAAAATAATTTTTTTTTTTTGAAAATTAAATGTTGGATTTTTTTTGCAATTAACTTTAACTTAAAATTGTTTAATATATTAATATTTATTATTATTATTACTTTTATTATTAACTTATTAGTAATTTTTTTTAAATTAAACTAACTATAAATATTGTTGTTATATTTTAGTAATAAATTTATTTTAATCAACTATTTATATATAATGTATAAGTTATCACAAAAAATAATTTTTTGGTATAAATTGCACTTAAATTGCAATTGAATAGTATATTGTGTATAAAATATAGTATTAATTTATTATTAAAAATATAATACAAGTTTATTATTAATATAATGTACTTAAAAAAATTAATCAATATTTATATTTTGTGTATCAAATTGATAACTAAATACTATATATATATATAAATTAGTTGTAAAGTAAAAATATAATCAATAATAATCTAAATAAATAAATCAATCAATTTTTTATATTGAAATAAATATTTAATAGTTTTAAATTATTTAATCAATTTTATAAATAATTTATTTTATTTTTTTTTGATACAAAATGTACTAATATTTTAAATAAATAAAAATAAATAACTAATTTATTATTTATAAGATAAAGTTTTAATTATTGATAATTAATTAAAAATATATATTTAAATATAAGATATATTTTTAATAATTAGTTTTTTTTTAAAAAATCAAACTATTTCTGTATAGATTTTTATTTAATAAATTGATTAAATTAAGTAAAAATAAAAAATATATTTTTGAAAAAAATTATTTATTAATAAATTGCAATAATTTTTTAAAAAAACAATACATTATAATCAACAACAATAGTTAAAAATAATAATTTAAAAAAATATACAGTAAATTATATACAAATAAAAACAAACAAATATAGAACTAATATTATTTATATTTAGTAATTATTAGTATTTTATAATTAATAAAAATAAATACTAATAACTAAATAATCATTTAGTGTTAATCAATTTAAATTATAATTTTTAAAATCCATTGTATTTTTTTTGGCAAAATTATTTTTTGTAAAATAATTTTAATGACGTTTTTCAAATAAAACTTTTACCTCCTTGGGCACCAATACCATACTAACACAATCTACCTGTACTGGGGTCTAGTAGTAGTAGTGGTAGTAGTGGTAGTAGTGGTAGTAGTGGTAGTAGTGGTAGTAGTGGTAGTAGTGGTAGTAGTGGTAGTAGTGGTAGTAGTGGTAGTAGTGGTAGTAGTGGTAGTAGTGGTAGTAGTGGTAGTAGTGGTAGTAGTGGTAGTAGTGGTAGTAGTGGTAGTAGTGGTAGTAGTGGTAGTAGTGGTAGTAGTGGTAGTAGTGGTAGTAGTGGTAGTAGTGGTAGTAGTGGTAGTAGTGGTAGTAGTGGTAGTAGTGGTAGTAGTGGTAGTAGTGGTAGTAGTGGTAGTAGTGGTAGTAGTGGTAGTAGTGGTAGTAGTGGTAGTAGTGGTAGTAGTGGTAGTAGTGGTAGTAGTGGTAGTAGTGGTAGTAGTGGTAGTAGTGGTAGTAGTGGTAGTAGTGGTAGTAGTGGTAGTAGTGGTAGTAGTGGTAGTAGTGGTAGTAGTGGTAGTAGTGGTAGTAGTGGTAGTAGTGGTAGTAGTGGTAGTAGTGGTAGTAGTGGTAGTAGTGGTAGTAGTGGTAGTAGTGGTAGTAGTGGTAGTAGTGGTAGTAGTGGTAGTAGTGGTAGTAGTGGTAGTAGTGGTAGTAGTGGTAGTAGTGGTAGTAGTGGTAGTAGTGGTAGTAGTGGTAGTAGTGGTAGTAGTGGTAGWAGTGGTAGTAGTGGTAGTAGTGGTAGTAGTGGTAGTAGTGGTAGTAGTGGTAGTAGTGGTAGTAGTGGTAGTAGTGGTAGTAGTGGTAGTAGTGGTAGTAGTGGTAGTAGTAGTAGTAGTATTGTTGATAATGTTTTTTTTGTGTGTAATAGTAGTTAAATAAAACACATAAAAAAAATTATGTATTAATTAATATTGTATTTATTTATTTTTTAAAAAAAACTAAAATATTCAATACATACAGTTGTCGGATGAAACTTATAATTGTAGACCGATTGTAGTATAGCTAGCTTGACAACCAACTGGGCGTAGCGCATACCCGGACAGCTACGTGGCCCGGAACCAAACGGTAGATAGGCATAGGGATGATGATCCAGGTGCTTGGTATCACCTAAAAATCGTTCAGGTAGAAATTTATCGGGATCCGGGTAGTTATGGTGATCACGTTGTATTGACCAAACAGGTATATGTACAATGGTATCTTTGGGCACTAGTATGCCATTACTACCACCACCAGTACCTAACTGATAGTCACGGTTGGCCTGACGTTCAAAAAACGGTAAAACCGGATACAAGCGCATAGATTCACTGATAACTGCGTCCAAGTATTTTAGATTTTGCATCACTTCATAGTCAATCACTTTCTGTTTAATTTTATTTAATAATAATAATAATAATAATAATTAAATATATATTTTTTTGTGTAAATTATTTTTTAAAAATAATAATACAATTATCTAGGTAACATTATAGTTATTAGTTTAATTATTTTTTAAAAAAATATGCTAGTATAAAATTTATTAGCATAATTTTATTTTTTGTTAAATAATAATAATAATAATAATAATATTTATAATGTAGTTTTATTTTGGATTTAATTTTATTTTTCGCTCAATTAATATCTATTAACTAAATAATTATTAAATAACAACAAATATTATTATAATTTTTTTAAGCCAACATTTATATACTAGTATATATTTTTTGAATAAATAATTTAAAAAAATATTAATAATAATAATAATAAATATTATAGTTATTAATTAAATTATTAAAAAAAATTAGCTAGTATATAATTTATAAGCATAATTTAAAAAAATAATAATATAATAATAACTATAATGTTGTTAATTTAGATTTATTTTTTTTGCAATTAATAACTATTATCTAAAATAATTATAATAACAAATATTATAATAAAAATTATTTAGTTTTTTTTTGTACTAACATTTTCATTGTAGTATTGTTTGGCCTCTTCATAGCATTTTTGTTGTACACGAGGACTGTTAGCTATATTATAGATAACCATTGATATAGTACTGGTAGTTGTCTCATAACCGGCCAATAAAAACAATACACATTGGGCTAGAAATTCATCGTTTGTCATATCTATACAAAAAAAAAATATATTTATTTATATATTATTATTTAAATTTTAATAATAAAATTTTTTAATATATTTTTATATATATATTTAAAATCAGTTAATATCATACTGTAGTATATAATGTAAATTATAATATCAGAATACAGTACAGAAAATTAAATTTATAATTAAAATTAATTCCAATAGTAATACAGTTATAATATAAATGTTTTATATATATAGATATATATATATAATATTAATTAATAATAAATACTTGAAAACTTATAAAATACATAACCCTATGTCTAGTGGGGTAGAATATAATATAAAATAATTGTTATATTTTTTGAAAAATAAAAATAAAATATTATCTAAAATATATTTTTTAAAAATATATAGCAAATAAAAACTGTTTATTAATATATTAATGTATAAATATTAAATTAGTTATTAATTAATTTTAAATATTTATATATTAAATATATAAATATTTCAAATCAGTTAATATCGATATTCATTATATAATATATAAAATAAAATATTATCTAAAATATATTCAACAATAAAATCTAAAGTATATATATATATACAGTATATATAATTAGTTATTACTGTAATATAATTTACATTACATTTGCCGTTAGTTTGGTCGCCATTGGCTTCAAGTAGCGAATCCAACATAATCTGCAAAAAATCTACGGGTTTGGTGTCCTCGGCATCGGTAGTGGTAGTGGTGGCCAACAATTGCTGCTGTCGTCGACGTCTTTCGGCAATAATACGGACAGTCATATCGCGGAAAAACCGTATATTACGGCCATTGAAAAACGTCAGTCGCAATAGTCGGGCCAACTTTGGTGCCGACTGTATGACTATAGCACTGGGACTGTAGTCAAGCATTTCCAATATATTCAAGATTATTGGATTGGTTTCATCCAAGCCGTCAACATTGACACCGAAAGCTACCTAAACGTGAAAATAAATAAAAAAAAATTAAATTAAAATTATGTGTAAAACAAATTAATTACATTAGATTTTTTGAAAAAAAATTTTTCCCCCAATAATTAAAGTCTTGTTTTTTAATTAAAACAATTGTTTGTTTTTTTTTTGTTGAATTGTTTTGTGGTCTAGAAATTTATGTGTAATTATGTGTTCATAAAAAATAATAAATGTGTAAATAGTGTAAAAAATAATTACATTATATTTTTGAAAAAATTTTTTCCACCCAATAATTACAGTCAATATTTTTTAATCAAAACAATTGTTTGTTTGTTTTTTTTGTTGAATTGTTTTGTGGTCTAGAAATTTATTTTTGAATTTTTGTTTGATTATTATTGTTTGATTTAGAAAATTTCCAGAAAGTTTATGTTTTATTAATTGTATATTATGTTTTGTTGTAATTTAATTGGTTAATTAATTTTTTATTAAAATAAATTAATTAATTTTTTCCCAATAATTTCAGTCAATATTTTTTAATCAAAACAATTGTTTTCTTTTTTTTGTTGAATTGTTTTGTGGTCTAGAAATTTATGTGTAATTATGTGTCAAAAAAAAATAATAATTACATTATATTTTTGAATTTTTTTTGAATTTTTGTTTGATTATTATTGTTTGATTTAGAAAATTTCCAGAAAGTTTATGTTTTTATTAATTAGATAATTTAAAAAACAATTCAATAAATGTGTTGTAAATTAATTAATTAATTAATTTTTATTAAAATAAATAAATTAATTAATTTTCCCAATAATTACAGTCAATATTTTTTTTAATCAAAACAATCAAATAAATTATTTTGATTCTAGAAATTTATTTGCAGAAAATTTCCAATAAAAAAACAAAAATTATACATAATTATACATAATTAACCTTGGACAAACACAATTATACCTTGATCAAATATAATTCCATAATATATGATTGTTTTTTTAGATTAGAAATTTATATATATATATATATATATATATATATATATATCTATTTCTATGTATATAATTAATACTATATATATATATATTATTAATACTATGTAAATTATATATATGTAAATTTCCAGTAAATTTATACTTAAATAAATTATTAATTACCTGAATTAATAATTCCATAGTATAGGCGCCAAACAATTTTTTCAAATCAGTGTTTAGTTTATTATTATTATTATTAGTATTAGTATTTTCAGATGAAATTTTTTTCGACATATTTTTATCTAAATTTCGGAGACAATTGATAATCGATGGCAACATTTTGCGTAGTTTTCCCGTTGAAAAAGTCGGGGTAACTATCGATCGGACAGTTTTCCAGCGCTCGTCACGTAATAAGTCCATCATATTGTCGACAATGGGATCGACACCAGTGGTTGTGTCCTTGAAATTAATTTAATTAAATAATTAATTAGTAAATAATACTTTTTTTAAAAAAAAATATTTTTAATTATATTTCAAATCAATATAATTGCTTTAAAAAATTATTTAACTTGAAATTAATTACTAATACTACATAATTTAATAATTGTTTTTTTAAAAAAAAATATATTTTTAATTACAATACAAACTTATATAATTGCTTAACTAATTGTGTCGTTGAAATTAATTAATTAATTAATTAATAATACTGTTAGTTAATAATATTATTAGTTAATTATACTATTAGTTAATAATATTATTAGTTAATTATACTATTAGTTAATAATATTATTAGTTAATTATACTATTAGTTAATAATATTATTAATTAATAATACTATTAGTTAATAATATTATTAGTTAATAATACTATTAGTTAATAATACTATTAGTTAATAATACTATTAGTTAATAATACTATTAGTTAATAATACTATTAGTTAATAAACTATTTAATAGTATATCTCATATAAACTATTAATAAAAAAATTATTTATTTAAAAATTAAAGTTATTTAACATATTTTTTTGTAAATAAAAAAATATTAATATTAATTTATACAACTATTAATAGTAATAATTTGTTTTAAATTATATATATAAAAAAAAGTTAATTATTATGATAACTAATTACTTACTCGTCTATTGTTGAAAACATTGAAATCTTTAACCAATACATCACGTATGAGATCGGGATCTGATAGATATAGTATCGGTTTTCCCAATTCATAGATACCGAAAACCAGTCCATATTTCTGGTAGAGATCCCGTTCCCAGTGATGCCATTGTTTGGTAAACTTTGTCAACCAACTGACCCGTGCAACCGGTATGCCCTGTCGTTCCCAACACTTATCATAGTTGCTATTTGTTGACCAAAAATATCTAATAATCAAAAAAATTAATTAATTAATTATCAATTAATTTCAAATTTAAACAATTTATTTAAAAAATTTATTTTCAATTATTATTTTTGTAATTAATTTATAAAAAAAATATTATTATTATTATTATTATTATTATTACCTATAAACTGCATATAACAACACTATTGTTATAATTGCTATATATTTCAAATTAATATAATATAAATCTAAATACTTTAAAGTATTTAATTCAAACATTTTTGATTATTATTTAGTATTATTATTATTATCAGTAACACTAATAAACATTTTATTAAAAATATTTTTAGTTTTCAATTTCAAAAAGTTTTTAATAAGTTAATCATTAAGTGATAAATTATTTTCATTGATAAAATTTTCCTATTAATTAAAATTGTTTGATAATTATTAAGTTTTTATTTATTTAATTTTGCTAATATATATATACTGTATATATATATATATTAAATATGACATCAAAATAACTAATTGATATGTACTTGAATTTTTTCAACAAAAAAAATATTTAATAACTATTTATATACAGTATAATGATATAATTGAAAAATTATTAGTATTTTTATTTTTTAATAAAATTATTATATAATTAATGTTTATTATCTAAAATTGTCTTAAAATATCAACAAAAATAAATAACTAATAAAAATAACTTTATTATGTAATATTTTTGTAAAAATTATACATAATCTGTTAAAACAAAATTAAATAAATATTTAACAAAAAAGCTAAAAAAAAATTTTTTTAAAAATATTGTTATTACTATTTATTTAATAATAATTACAATTTGTTATATATAATAAATTTTATTATATATATATACAAATTTTACTAATTATTTGAAAATAAAACTAATAATAACTAATATTTTAATAAAATTAATAATCAAAAATCTAATTATTATTTTTTTGTTAAGTAAATTTGTATGTTTAAAATTAATAAATTTGTCAAGGTTATTTCAATTTGCCAATAAATTCACTGTAATTTTTTTTATTTAAAAAAATTATTGTTAATAAATATTATTTTTTTTTTGAAAAATATATTTTATTTCTAAGTTAATAGACAGCGCTATTTGCAACCAATAAAAAATTATATAACTTTTAAAGTAAAATAATAATAATAATTAAATTTTTGTTTAAATTTATATTTAAATTTATTTAACATTTTAATTAATTTTAGTATTTATGATCCACAAAAAAATAAATAGTAATTTTTCATTATTAATTAATTTACTGATATATATATATTTTTATTATATATATCGATTGAAACAAGTATTCTTTGCGTTTCAAAAATAATGAAATTTTACTTTGTTTTTGTGAGATCTATGTAATGATTAAAATTTTATTTTTTTTTGTAATTCAACAGTTACATTATTGAATTTTAACTATGTTATTAAACATTTAAAATAAAGTTATTAATAAAGTCGTTACATAGCTTAAAGTCACATGACAT